AAAGGGGGAGACAACATTAGAATTGGTCAAATATAAAGAAGAAGAAAGATTCCTAACAGAAAATACCATCATGATTACGGCGTGGAGAGGAGTCGAGAACGAAGCAATTAATGCCAGTAAGACGTATACGAACGGTCATGATAACATGAATAAAGCTCCCCCCCCCCCCCCGAAAAACCATTTGCGGGTTTGTAAAAGATGTGAAAAAATAATCCAGAAATAGCTTGACAAATCACCGCAAACCGCGCTTCAATATCTACATCCGGTACCTTGTAGCAGCCGAAGTTCGACTATAAAATACCTGCAAATATGAGTAAAAATCGGGGACTTTGCCCCCCCATATTTCAAAAACGGTGCGTATACTCAATCTGAAATTTTATTATGTGTAAAGGGTCACCCTATAGATGAAAAAATACCTCACACCGACCCCAATTTCGAGGGCCCGAAAACGGGCGAATTTTAGCCCTTTTTGTGCAAGGCTCTTTGTTGACAAGGTTAAAAGAGATTGTTGCATCGCATGTCAGTGGCGTCAAAAATGTGTGAGAAAGAAATCCTAAGGAAATCCAAAAACCCTAGACTGAAAATATTTCGAGAAATATTAAAAAGGACTTTCTCACCCACTGGTCTTTCCAATGATTATTGTATAGCGCCGGGCCAAAACTCCTTGCTGGGTTCATACTGCTGCTCGCGTAATGCACCTGTGAGAACAGTAAGAAATCTATTTTTTAAGCAATAAATAGTAATGAAATGCATTTTCTCAGATTTTTACTCTCATCAAATTTCGTATACCAAAGCGAACTCCATGTGTTGAATATTTTTGGTGAGAATGAATGACAAATTGATGTATTTATGCTAAAAAGAGCAATGTGAAAATTAATTTTTAAATATATTAAGGAACCAAGCGCGCATGTAGTTTGCGTTCATCGTAGTTCTTTCTTATTTAATTCATTTCGACATAGTTTCTTTCAGCAAAGCTATGTCCAAATCAAAATTTGGACTATATTTTCAGCCTGGCAACTATCTATTTTAACCTTTTCTTTGCAACAGCCAAGCGTTACCCGTTTATTTCGTGGCGGATCAGCAAATTAGAGCAAAAAATGTGTTAATCGTTACTTTTCTTTCTAAAATAATTTAATGAGTTTTATTTTTTATTTTTTATTCAGTCATTTCGATTTGCAAAACGTTATTCACAATCTGAGTATCTTTACCAATGTTGAAAAATCTTGGATGACGCATCCGCAAAGAAAAATAAATTAAACGAAAACTAATCCCAAGACGTTTTGGTCAGTTTCCTGACACTTATCGGTCAATATTCAGAGGCAAAATAATACAATTTGAAAAAAATAGTCGCAAAAAACTTGAAAAAACAATTGATTTCCTCCGCCATTGTGAGGTAATTTTAAGTTTTTAATGATTTTTTTTTCATGTTATTACTTTTCCGTCTGATACCGATTGATAATACCTAGGTCACCGACCAAAACGCCTCTTCAGTCTCGAATTTTTCTCCTCCCCCCTCCCTCCTGTGTACATTGTAAAATGTTGCTTGGTATGTGACATGAACTACGATGAACAATATTTTCTCCTCTTAAGTGTTTCCGCATTGTAATGTTTTGCGATTTTACTATGCTTTCATGGAACTTTTTAAGCTTACTTTGCTGGAATCATTTTAATTGGTCACACATCTTTGAACGAATTTCGACTTGCCAGTTGCTATTACATTTTTTGAAGGTAAATGACACGTAGAACACGATGCGCACATTAAAAATGCAGAAAAGTTACTTAAAAACGGAGAAATATGCAATTCAAAAAGCCCAACTGTTCCACAAATTTAAAACGCCCCGGTTTCACGCCCAACAGAATGATTCAGAAGCGACCATGGATTTCCACGACTTCCATCAAATGTCTTTCTACTCCTCGCACATGAAAACAATAGGAAAGTCGAAACAACCTATCTCTTCAAAATCAAAGAATCAAGTCACATTTATGTCATCTGTAGTTAACAAGCAACAATTTCACATGAAAAAACGCTCTGTTCTAGCAAACATGAGTGGAAAGTGAGATGACATAGCGATTTGACTGCCATGGTGCATGACTTCCATCATTTTGCAGTTATTTCGGCGCGTTCGAAATTTCTTTTGGTCTTCGGGCGTTTTAAAAGTGGGCTGACCAGGATCTTTGTCTCCAACAATGCGCAATAATTCACCACGTAATCTACTCACCTGACACTTTCAGAATATTAAAGAGAAAATACAGAGTTTAGTGACCCATTATCTCTCCTTACCGATGGTAATAGGAGAGCAAAGCAGCCGAAGCCAAATTTGAGGGCGACAGTGGAGTTGCGGTCCGAGTTTTTCGGGTCTTGGACGCTGCAGAAGAGCAGGCAGAGTATTGCAGTGATAAGCATCTCGACCCCCATGGCACGCAGAGACGTCACGCGCACGTCTTTGGCTGTACAGCAGAAAGAGCCACTTGTCCCGCCAAGGAGATCATCCGCGACCAATACCTAAAAACCTCGAGGTAATATATGGCATCAAAATCAAGTCGTCAAAAATATGCGCAATAAAAATAACTCTATCCGAGCATAAGACTGAAATAAAAGATATAAAAAAATGAAAAACCAGGGTGTTTTGAAGTATGAAAACTTCATTTATGAGACACAAACTGATTGCGGTAGGCGCAAGGGCCGTAAGACAGAGAGTTGGAATTTTTCAGCCAACGTGCGTTAAAAATCAGCATAAAGCTGAAAATCTCAATACAGAGGGTAAAATTCATATAATTCAACACTAGTGACATTGCACTGTATTGAGATTTTCAGCTTTATGCTGATTTTTAACGCAAGTTGGTCAAAAAATCCAACTCGCTGTCATTTATAAGAGGCTGAAAAAAGAAAATTTGACGAGAAGAGAATACTTAAGAAAAGTAAATGCATTTTCCTTTGTTTATCTCTAGTTTTCCTCATTTTTCGTTATTTTCCTTCATTTCTTTCACTTTCCTTCATTCTCTTTTAATCTTTCCATTGTCTCTCTATTCTTCTGTTTCTTTTAGTTGCGTTAATTTTGGGCTGACTAAGTTTTTTTATGGAAAATGTGCACGTGACCGACCATGCGGAAAACGGTTTCAGGTTAAGTTGCAAAATGTTCGGTTCTTAAATTTCAAAATGTTATTCTAACTGCATTCAGATGTGTCAACATAAAGGTCATTTGACAAACTGGCTTTCTAATTTTTGTAATTCAATCCCAATGAGTTGATTGCTGAAACTTTACAGCTCCTTCGTGAAATGATCTGATATACAAAGTCCTATCTCGCAATGTTGTTTGTCGCATTGGCAGATCCAGCAACTTGGTAACACCGGATCTCCTCCATTTAAACCTATGGAAATGTATCGATTCTTGGAGGGGCCAAAAGCTCCGACAAGAATCGATAATTTAGCATAGGTTTAAATGGAGGAAATGCGGTGTTGCCAAATTCCTGGATCCGCCTTTTGTCAATTGAAATCATTCGATAAGCTGATTACCACCTTCAAATAATCACCCTGCACGATAGCGTAGACTTTCAACTTACCCGTAGTAATGCGTAGCCGAGGAAAGCTCCCAAACACTCCATTACAGTGATGTAAACAAACATGAATAAAGATTTTTCTCCACGAATCACGTCAGCTGCTACCAGTGCGGGATTGATTATACAGCTAATGTGTCCGAAGATCTGGAAAAAGGATACACAATTTCCTTCAAATAAGAGCCGTATTCACATACGGAATTCCATTGACATGCAGCTCCTTTCCTTGTAGAGATCTTGTTTCGATGGCTAAATTGCGAAACCACGTACCTCCGTTGCGGTGTTTGAAAAGTCTACTTTTATTTTATTTGCTCGAGGAGGAACAAGACTACTTTATAGCTTGAAATTTTTTCAGAATATTCTGCCACAGGAGAAAAAAAAATCGAAAAAATTACGTCGGAGTTTTTCAAGGGAGTAATGCATCATGACAGGAGGTCTGCAATGTAGTAAACGGTGATAAGTGGTTTCGCACTTTAGCCGCCGACATGGACTACATTGTGAATGAGGATGGTGTAAGCGGTAATCCAGGATTGCGCGAAAGGTCCTAGAAAATAGATGAGGATTGCGCGAAAAAGACACAAGGATTGCGCGAATAGAAACCTTATCATCTGCTACACGAATGCGCGAATTTAAAATTAAGTTGATTTAAGGTAGAAGTTTGGCAACCCAGGAAACAGTTGGAAAATAAACGCATTTTTATGTCCAGTTCAGGTTAGTTTGTTGACAAGTCATCGATGTCTTACCTTATGATGATAAATGAAGTGAAAAGATCGAATAATGGCCGTAGGTATAAAGAACTTTCCTAACTTTCCTCGGAAACAATATTTAATTGGGAGAAACCAGGCAACGTTGGAATGCTCATACGGCGTCGAAATACAACATGGACCCGCGATTATTCTAACGAGAGTTCGAATAGTCGCGTCAAACACAGTGCGGCCGGCGATAAACGTGTACTAGCGCCTGCAAGACTTTGGGAACACTTCATGCTTTGCGCGAAACAGTACGGTCGGCGTTCAGCCCATATTAGCGCCTGCAAGACTGCATGAATACTTCTCGCATTGCGCCAAACGCAGTGCAGTCACTCTGTTGGCGTGAAACGCATATTAGCGCCTAGATATCCCGTCGAAATTTTCGACACCATTATTTAAGATCATTTAGGCAAATTCGCGAAAAATTTTCAGAATAACTGTGTGTAGCTTTTTAAAAACATTTATTAAAAGTAAAACATAAAAGTGGTGCATAACGTGGCAGTCAGAGATAAATATACTCTTTTCGGGTGCACTCGTCGGGTTATGAATGTGAATCTATTTATCTCTTTAAAAACTTGCTAATGGTTGCTCTATGATTTTGTACGTGTAGTTTTATTCATCATAAGTTGCTAAAGTCTTTGACCATGGGAGCTCTCACGCATCGCAAGCTTCTTGTTAGGCCAAAATGCAGCATTTCAAATGAGTTAATTTTGAAGTTAAAAATTACCCTGCGAATACAGTGGACGCTCGATAATTCGAAATTGAAGGGAATCGGTTTTTTATTCGAATGGGCCTGTTGCATGCAAGAGATACAGCCGCGCGAATAGACTTTTAAGAGGTTAAATGACACGAAAATTACGATGGTCACATTAAAAAAGTCTGAAATACACTCCTTACTGTGCAATTTGCGTTTTTAGGAACGCGCTTTTTCAAATTTCCCGCGTCTGGGGGCAGTTTTCTAACGGAAACAATTGACGGCAACTCGCGTTTATTTCCGGTCAACTAAAACTGACAACATAACCTAAAAATCGGAGTTCGTGATATCGTGAAATGAAATGTAGAAGGATTGCGTTGGATATTTAAAAGTTGATCGATTTGGTTACCGCATAAAGCGTATATGGACCACTATAAGAAATCACGTTGGGTTTGTAAACAAACTGAAGGAAAAAAGAAGAACAACAACAACGACTCGGCATCTTCCGGAAATCACCGAGCCCGCCGTTTGCTAGTTTCCGGTGATTAGAAAACTGCCCCCAGACGCGGGAAATTTGAAAAAGCGCGTTCCTATCAACGCAAATTGCGCAGTAAGGAGTGTATTTGAGACTTTTTTAATGTGACCATCGTAATTTTCGTGTCATTTAACTTCTAAAAAGTCTATTCGCGCGGCTGTATCTCTTGCATGCAACAGGCCCATTAGCGAGGTTTCGAAATAAAGAGATTCCATGTGGAGAAATTTCGAATTAGAGAAGTTCGAATATAGAGGAGCAAATGGATGGATTTACGCCAAAAATAACCAAAAATATCATATATTATTATATATTATTTCTTTACGGAAGTAAAAATTACACTAAGTAATTATTAATTATTAATATTTAATCAGCTGATCAAGCTTTTCGCGGGGAGACTCACGGGACTTGTTTACATGTTGACAATCCTATCAGCTCTTTCAGAAACCCAGGTACATGAACAGTTGACTTCGAATTGTAGAGGGAATGTACCGTCTTATTTCGAATGGAGAATTTGCACGCAATTTTTTTATTGCTTCATCTGAAAGTGCCTAATGAGCTGAGTTCGCAATATTTTTCATAATTTTTTTCTGACATGGGAAATTGGAGAAAAATTGATTTAAAAGTGAGAAAATGTGCCGCCTTGTGACGTCATCTGGCGGCATTTCCCATTTAAACACATGTATTTTAGCAGAATCGGTTATTTTGTCATATCTCCTCTAATAATTGCTCAATTTATGAATCAAGGGTATCTTCGTGTTCAGTTCACTCAGAGGATTCCACTTAAACAGGAAATTCATCAAATTTCAGACCCTTGCAAATTCTCCATTATAGAGAGAGGACCATATTTACTTCCCACACTTTGAATTACAGAGAGAATTTTCGCCGCGATTTCGAATTATAGAGGGCCGCGCCCACTTAAAAATTTCGAAATAACGAGGGGAGAAAAATACATTGATTTTCTTCGAATTATCGAGAGATTTTCAAGGGAAACAGACTTTCCTTCGAATTAACGAGGTTTTCGAATTATGGAGGTTCGAATTATCGAGAGTCCACTGTATTTCTACCTCGCTCAACCCCGCCCGGTCACTAATTATTGAGGTATCAATATCAATCAATGGATTCTACTCAACTGTAACGGATAATTCAGATCTTCATAGGCAACTATGATCCCTGATTTTTTTCGAACGAAGCAGTTACGAATACAACTAATAGCTTACCATCACAGATGTTGCAATCGCAAAAGCAAAAGTTAGGACGCCGCCCAGATAATCCAGGTATTCGCCTTTGGAGTCGGAGAGTGTACCCATGCAGCCCATGCAGACGAAAAGCCCCGTGCCGAACATCTCGGCCAGACCTTTTTCCAGCAGCCTCCATGCTTTCTCCTTGTCCAGGTTTCGAAACTCGTGCGGTGTAAACGCTCCTGTAAACATAGTGGGGTTTATTCTACATGTTGCTAAAATTAACTATTGAAACCCATTTGCAAGCCTTGAATGATGGTTATAATGCATAAAGTTCAGGAATTACGGAGTAAGAAGATAGTACTGTTAGTAAAATTAGTCATCCAAGTTGAGATTGGGTCGGATAAGCAACTAAACAAGCTTCTTGGTGAAGCGTAGAGTATCTTGCGGAAATGAAGGCGTTTTAAGCCGAGATCATGATTTTGATGTTTTTAGTGTTGCTTGTGGCAATACGCAAACCACATGCAACTATCGGTAGAAATGAATATTTGGGGTGTCTGAGTTGAGAATAAAACAAGTACTGGTATCGGTACTGTAGTGACCTGTCGTAACGTTTTGATACCCAGGATAGATATGATTCTTCTGCTGTGATAGCGAAGAGAGCAGTAAATACCTTTCTGGACGAGCCATGATTAGGACATGCTTTTATGTGTCTCGTGGTTCATCCCAGCATGCACTTAATGCTCTCTTCGTTAGCACGGAAGTCTTGACGACCCCCATCCTCACCCCATTCTCCCCATTACGTCTCCCCCACACATCTCCTTGTTCCTCATAGATATCAAACATGCTATTAACATTTAGAATTGTTTACTCAATGATAACATTTTAGATAATACGAATATTCCTGTGGTCAGATTTTGAATTTAATAAATATTTATTTTTCATTTGTTTCTTCACCGTCGTTGTCCTTGAACAACAAAAACAATCATTTCTGCGGGTGTTAACTAACTCCTATTTTCCCATCCCAATCCTTTGCGCTGAGTCCCTGTGGTATAGTGTATCTTGATTCTACATATTGAACAAGTAGAACTTTTTATATTTCACGAGGAACTGCGAAATTCCATCCTCTTTCGTTACAAGGATGCGTCCGATAAAATTACAACAACTGCATTATCTTTCGAACATCGTATCGTGCCCTTCACTCCACAGCACGCATCTCAACTCTGCAATCATTTTGACAATCTCGAGACTGTTGGTAGACAATCACCTCGGAAATTAATTGCCTCAGTGTCACATTGCAGCAAGTGAAATCAAATTAACGATCGTATGCGACGCTGACAGATTTGACGATAAAATTACCACATTTATATTTGCTCAGGTGCTCGACTGATGTATGATGCGACAGCCAAGGCGGACGTTCGCACCATATTGGGATGTGCCTGAGAAGGAGGAGTGATACTCAGTATCAATTGGTAGAGTAAACATAGGATAATGTGAAGTGTACCAATTATCAAGGTTGGGTATTATAGCGGCAAGGTTCGTTTAATCGCGAGAGTTTAGATTGAGGATGAGGTCAGTGCTCCAGCAAGCTGAGCCCCCATTCCTTTAATCCTTGCTATACGTGGAACTGGAAGGCAAGGCTATGACCGGTTTTGAAGACAGTAGTCCGTAGAATGGATTAATGCAAAGTCTCATTAGGTTAATACTGAAAATTAAAACTGACGCTACTCTAATTTTTCAAAAATGTTTTCCAATGATTTTTTTTTTCTTTGGGCATTTAAAGCTATACCTTAGAGCAATGTAGCTTATTATCATATAAAGGTCGAATTATTTTTAATGATAGTGACCTTTAACTATAAACCGGGCTTACAGAAGAAAACTCTGCAGTCCTTAGCGTATGGTGTCCACTTAAAAATGTAAATATATTGAAGATATAAACTTAAAACAAATTTAAAAGGGAGTTTCTAAAAAGTAAAATTTATTCAATTGAAAATCTCGATTAATGTTTCAATATACACGTTTTTGGTTTTTTCCCGTCTATTCTAGGAGTCTTAATCGGTATCCGTCAACCTTTCCGAAACAGACTAGAGTTTTCTCAATGAGAATTACTTACCACGAATGGACATGAAAGAAGCGTTTCTTTAAAATGGTGAAGTTCTAAATACTCTATATTGAATACTAAAATTGTCGCCACAGCTTACAAATTAACTTTCCATTTCCGAGGAACGGTCAAAGTGATTGATCAACACCATACCAAAAATAAAAACTCTAAATATTTTCAATTTCTGATGAAAAATTTCACTCGCGGCTGAACAAAGGAAATTGAGTGACCAGAACCAAAATTGATTTTGATTGAACTGATAAACACGTGAAGTAAATGATTGTGATAAACTTAGTGCTCGGTCTTGTTGGCGTATGCTTAAATAATTTTCGGGCAGTAACGTGAGAAATACTTTTTTTGCATACTGATAAGATTATTCAGTTAGTTTGCAACGGAATGAATTTTTTGGTTATCAATGCAGCAGTACAATTGTAACTTTAAAGTTTCTGCGGCAATTTTCAATTTTGAGAACATGGTTTCACTCTTATCAGGCATTTGTGTCCTTTTTTAGTGTAATTTTCGAAGGGAATCCACTGTTTCAGGAGTTCAACAAACTCACATTACCCTGAATTCTTTCGAGAGGTGTGAGATTGCGTACACATCATTTGAACACGAGATGCACTGTACAGTATAACTACTACATCCTTGAAATGTCAGGTCAGTGGGAAAGTTAAATAAAAACCTAAAAAATTTCAATTTCAAAATTGGTATGTATACACTATGTTTTTAAATTCTGTAAGTCTGATAATTTTCCTAATCTCAAGCACGTATCTTGATTAAATAATTTAACAAAATAAAAGGAAAAATGAGCTGGACACAGTGAAAAAATAATATCGGACGATGTTTAACTTTAACTTACCTGTGCACATTTTAAAATATGTATTGCATACTCAAGCCCGGACGATGAAGACTATTTTGACTGCAAACTTACCGATACCTCTGTTTCAAGCTTCTTGTGCAGTAACTATCTTGGAAAGTGTAACACACAATCCTTGGCCATGGTATTGTCCAGATATTTTTGGCAGCCGCTCATAAAAACAATGCCATTCCATTGTTCGGACATTCATAAGTCGAGTCATAATAATTATCTTAATCATAGGGAATGAATCATCGGTTCTTCCGTCAAACTATTAGACAAGAATAATGGGAAAACATGATGCTCGGGAAATTTATTAGCATTGTAAATAAAAAACGAAATGAAATTCAAAATTTTACGTTAAACGCTGATCAACCACCGATCAAAATAATTGTCAACATGTATGCACAGTTGACAATGTCATAAGTCACGACCTGAGCGTTTTCTCAAATTATCGAGTCGCTATATGCAATTTTAAAATCGGAAATTCAGCCCAAGCTTTGTAAAAGACAAAAGTACGTTTTACAAAAATTTAAAAATGAATATAAAAAAGATCAATAGTTTGACGATTTGCAACCTCAGTGTGGTGAAGAACGATTAGAAGGATGGGAAAATTCAAACTATTTTATGAGTATGAAAAAGCTGAAAATTTACAATGTTACCGTAAAATACTTTTTTTTACAAAGGTGGGAAGAAAGAGGCATGGAGAAATGATAAGGTTCTTAATTTAAGATGAACATCTGAATAGGAATCTAAACTTTTTGAGTCACGTAAGGAGTATAAAGTCATGGTAAGATTACCTTTAGAAAAACATAAAATGAAATATAAGTAAGCGAAACAAGTACGTGATTCTTTGTTAATAAACTATGATTTTGAAAAAAATATTTAATAGGAGAAGATCTATGCGGAACAGTAAGTCTTGAAATAAAGTGATTTGGAAGACAACAGTTTCAAATGACGAAGCAAAAAAGAAACGGAGAATCTTAAATGTCTGGAATTTGGAATAAAAAAGTTTATACCAACAATTTTCTTCGAATTCTAAGCTCAAGTCGGTAACGTCTATTTTCTTTTCGGAAACAAAAGTTCAAGCTATAAAGTTGGTATTCGTGGCTGCTTCGTTGCTAAAAAGCTCGTTCAGCACCAACGTCATCGTGCCCAGACTACGTCACGTTGCCATTTAAAATGAAAAATAACTTAAACGATGAAATTCTGTATGTATCGTTACTCTGTCACTCTGTTGTGTACAGTTGTTGCTGAGACAAACTTACGCAGATAAGTCATGAAACACCAAAAAATCATTTCGAAAAAGTCAATCGTGAAGTAATGAATAGTTTCGTTTCAGAGGACCCTAAATTTGATTACTCTAAAAAAACGCAAAACTTTTCAACTACATTCACGCGGTTGACAAATCACACATGAACCATTCAAAAGTACTAAACAAAGGCTAACTGTGAAGTCTGCGCCAACGGAAAGTCAACAAGATGCCTACGTGTGAGAACAATTTCAACGTACCTTATTTATAAATGTAGGTTACGTTGAAATTTCTGTACAAATGGGTTCGAAAAGAAACTCCGAGAAAAAAATCTGACGAGAGTGGTATGAAATGCTATCATTGCCTTGGTTTACGCTTACCTCGCTCCAGGCTCAATGTGTATTCTTGGTTGCGGCAGAGACTTTCGAAGGATTTTTATGGTCGTTAAAATACCGAATTAGGAATAATCCTCAGCATCATATTTTGACGAGTTTTTCTAAAACTCGAACTCGAAAAATTCTTATAGTTCCCAATATAAAGGCGAGTATAATATTTGAACCAAAATACCAAGTGCAGAAAATGAGTGGTATTTTAGGTATAAGATCTGATATAGCTATATAGTTCGGAATTCACTTATGATATACCTTTTTTTGTTGTTAAGTTGAATCCAACAATTGACAGCCCTTTCTCAACGTGTTTTTTGCCAAAATATTGATAGAAAAATAAATATGGTTGCTTGTGTCAAAGAGCTGAAACAGTTTGTTCGCTGCTCTGGCAAAGATTCAAAGAAATTCTCAGATAAAAAAGCCAAATTATGTTTCAAAAGTCATTTGCTTACATATTAATATTGACGATTTTTAAAAAACAAACGCTTACGAACGTCTCACGAAACAAACCAAGTTCAAAGGAATGGATTTTACTGTTCTGATTTTAGACGATGTATTATTCAACACAATTTTCAAAATCAAAAGTTGAAAAACAAGCCTCACAGTCGCAGTGCAGCAAATTATTTGCTCTAGTTTTATTTTTTCCAAAAAATACAACCATAATTTCTTATGAAATTATATTTTGCACGTGCTCTAAGCATCAAAAAACGAAAATAAAAATTAAAACACTGCCAACCAAAAGTTATGGGCCTCTCTTTTTAAGCAGTAAAATGTGACTAAAATTGCACAAAGTTGAAAGTAGCAATACTTTAATACTTGTCCTCTGATCCTCATGATCAGTACCATTAATGTTTCATTAAAAAAAAAAAAAAAAAAAAAAAATTGATGACTACTCTGTTAAAAGTTTTGGAGTGAAATTCTTTGTCAGAGTCCATGTAGCGCCCGAAATCCTCGAGTGATATGAATGGGGAACGGAATCTATTCTCCTTCAGGAGTGAGTTACACTATTACGGGGCGGAATCTACCCTCTCTGCGGAGTGTCATACGCTTTAACGGTGCCAAGTTCTTTTCACACTCGTATCACTCGGGGTTTTTCGGTCCTACATGGACTCCGACACCGAATTTCAATCCTCGATTTTAAACAGTGTACCATGAATAGATGGGAACAATTTTTCTTGAAGGAGGAGTAGGTAAAGTAAAAACAAACATGTGGCACAACTGAAAAGTCGAAACTTTATTTACTCGCTCGATGTCATTATCATATACAATAACAGTGCTGAAATCAGAATGAATCTAAGGGACTACATTTGTGCTCTGATGAACTTCATCAGCAACAAACGAGGCTTAGCATGAAGCGCTGTGGCACGATACTTAGATTAAGGTAAAGGAGAGAAAATATTTTCTTTTCTGTTGACCTATGATCAATTTATCAGTGCTTTCTTACGCTTGATCTGTTTCTCTCTCTCTTTCTTCTATTTTTACTACAGGAACGGAGAGACTTCTAATTGTGAGATCATAACAGTCTAAATAACAACGCGTCCCTGTAATACGTGTTCTACGGATTCTAGAAAAGAAATATACCATTAACGGTTTTAAATTAAAACTAATAAAAATAACTCTACGGTAAACAACCGTTTTTTGAGCTCGCCCACTCGGGAGAGCTCTTTGCGATCGATTTCTTTTAGCATTGGTAGTGTCCGTGGCGACGAATGGATGGTTCTCGTTGCCGTCGGAGGAACGGCCAAAATCCCATTGATTTCAAGGTCTAAAAGTTGAATTTTCGCGGGTTACAGTTTTCCTCCGTCGAACATTTCCGTTCCCTCATTCAACTGAGGATTAATTGTTCCTCGTTTGCTACACTAGAGAGCAGCACTTTCCAGTGGCCGAGCATATCATAGCATGTTGCTATGGTTTTATATCAAATAACCTAATTGTATGTTATCATCCTCTTATCTTTTCAATGCAGTTTTTGTGTGCAGTTGTACTTGCAATTGTTATTATTTCTTAAAATAAAAAACATGGTGACCTCGACGTGATTTAATAATTTGTTCAATTAATTTTAAGTTACTAAGACTAAGATTGAGATTTGCGCATAATTAATGGATAATCCTTAAGATTGCCGTTATTGGTACCATAGAAGGTTAATTAACCTCAAAATAATTGCATGCTTGAGAGCTCGGTTGAGACTCGCATTGGGATCCTTTCAGAGTTTGTTTAAACCTCATATTAAGAATGCTTTAGGATTCGTTTGAGCCCCTCGCATCAAGAATGCTTGGGAATTCGTTTGAGCCTCGCATTTAGAATGCTTGAGAATTAGTTTGAGCCTCGCATTGAGTTTCTTTAGAGTTCGTTTTAACCTTAAAATACAGATGCATGAAGTGCTCTTTCGAGCTCCGTGCTATTTATAGTGCGCGAGGTGCTCCATTGAGCCACCCCATACCTACAAAGGCGTGATGTGCTCCATTGAGCCACTCGCATACAAAGGCTTGAAGTGGTCTCTCGAGCTCCACGCTAAAATTCAAGTGAATTCCTTTTCAGCTCTTAGTGTATACCATAAGTATTGTGTAAGAATTATGGCAGAAACGTTCCTCCAAACCGTGCTAAATTATAGTTTCTTTGAACTCTGTGCCGATAAAAATTCAGAATTCCAGACTGCCAGCTTAACAAAGTATAACCTTAATTCAAGTTGGCGACTTGATTTAAAAAAAAAAATTAAAATTAAATCATATGATTTCATTACATTGTTGACAAGTTAAGAAAAAGCTTATCAACGATGAAAGCCAGAAACAAAAATGCGATGGCAAAAATAGCCATTGCAACATTTGCCGCAAAATCACATTCATAAAAGATAATTCCATTTCTCTCTCTTTATTTCTCTTTATTTATTGTAATGTGAAAAATTTGTCATATGAAATTACGTCATAACATTTTGCATCGGCATGTAACCTCTGATAATTGGGTAAAGATTCATTTAATACATATACAATTTCAGAAAAAATCATTAATAGTTGTTAATAGTTTCCCAAAGGCGAGCTCTCCAACACAGTAGTGTTGGAACCAGCAGCTTGTTTACTTTTTCAAATCGATTTGCGACTGTCCACGAGAATAGAGCATCACTTTAAAAAGGCAAAATGGTTGTCTTTATTGCAAGGGATCAAAAAACCGATTTTTGATATTTCAACGGATAATTGACTGTGTATATTGATGTTGTATTGATACCTTGATTTTGAGTTTTTGTGGGGGAAGCTCCACTTTCCCGCGGACAGTCGCATTCATATTTCATAAAAGAACTATACAAACATTTTTTAATATCAATTTGTTCATCTCCCTAACATTTAATGTAAAATCATAGCTACTCATCTATGTCTTAATGAGGCGTTTGTGCCAATTTCAAATAAAATATTTTCCTTGAGTATGCCCACCTTAAACAGTGGCGTAGCTAGAAGAGCCTCTCAGAGGGGGGAGGAGGTTCAAGGGTTCCAGAAAACATCCCTTTTCAGAACTGAAAAATTTTGCCGAAAAAAACCTCATATGTAGTTATTTTTCAGGAATTTTTATTTTCGGACCCCCCCCCCCCACCATGAGAAAGTTGTGACCCCAGGCCCCCTACTCCCTCGAAAATTCCTGACCACGCCGCCGACCTTGCAAATCATCGTTTTTTAATGAAACCTTGATGCACAACTGGTTGTTTAAAGCAAGTTTCCCAGAAAAAAACTGTGCGCTGAGACGCAACGGCGAGAAGTATGATGCCGATAGCAAGCTTACAATTAAGAGAACTATTGAAGGGCTTGGAGGACAAGGCGCATGATTGCAGTTTTTCTATTTCAAGAAATACTTGGTTGAAGTTTCAAAATCACATGGAGCCTAATGGCAGAAAAAAAGTCCAAACTCACTTCATTTTAGTTGTGAATTTGTCACATAATATACTCTCAAACTACTTTCAGTCGAGTTCATGAATATCTCAATTTTTTCGAAAACTACATTTATGCGCCTTTTTCTCCAAGCCCTTCAATTATATTAGAAAGTCATAGAATATTCTTGCGAGTTTTCTCTACTACAACTTCAAATTGAAGTCTGATTACCGGCCTGAGAAAGCATTTGAAAATGTGTTAGGAATATCTCCTTCTGGCAGTGATTAATGTTTACTTTTATTTTTATTTTTTTTTTAAAGTATTGAGTGGTTGCGGAGTTATTTTCTCGAGGAGACGGTTGTCGTTGAACAGATTTACACTTCATCGCCGGAATGATTCTGCTGGTGCTGCAAGGTGATTCTGGCGGATGGCTGTCTGCTTACGCTTCGGCTTTTGGACGGATGATGGCGGGCGAACAGATGGGTGTACACGTAGGCGGCAATCATAGCACCACTCATTGGGCCAATCCAATAGACCTGTAATAAGGTGCATTTAGCATCATTTTGTTTACGACCGTTCAAGAAGAAAAGTACTCTAGTTTCCAACGGCACATGGAAAAAAATCCGTGGCGAGGCGTACTTTGCGATCCATCGATATTTCCCCATTTGAAACTGTGGTAAATAATCGATTATTAAGGTGTTCACTGCGAACACCCTGTTTATCGATACTTCTTTATATGTTTAAATGGCCGATCAATCGATATATCCCAAAGCACGCCACGCCACTGAAAAAAATAGGATAGTCGTCACAACCAGCGGCTGGTTGTGACTCATAGAGTCCCTTTATACTGAGAGATCATACTAGATTGTATTAAGACCATCTATCGTAGGTCTGAAAGTTTTACTGTATTATATGTTATTTGTATAATACTCAATAAAAAATAAATAAATAAAAAATACACTTTTATATCAACGCATACAATTGGCTCGTAATTTTTAACTCTTACACTATTGAAAAGTAGAGAGTATGCACTTAATTTAACGAAATTTACTCTGATTTTTTTGGAGGGTATCCAAAAAGGGGCGTTTTTTAAGCTCTTATTTAATTTAACGCACGTCACCGAGAAAGCCAAAATGACGCCTGGAATTGTCCCCCTGCACAATCTTGATTGCGTATAATGTTCCTGCCGCGATTTTTGTATTATTCACATTTTTGAGTTTTGTGGCTTCTATTCCTTTATATTATTTTGATAGGAATCTACAGTATTCTTCACATTTAAAACGGCTGCACGGATCATGCATTACGGCGCACAGTGGATGGAGTCAATCAGAGAGGTCGGACATGAAACTTTTAACTGGAACTGCAAATTTTGATGTTTATTTCGTCAAATTTTAAATTTTAAGGGGTGCCTTTAAAAAAGAATTTTACGAAAATACCAATGGAGCCACTTTTGAAACTTCAAAGTTTTGAATGACCGGAGTTATAAGCTTTTAAAGTTTCAAAATTTTATCCGACCTCTCAAATTTTCTCGATCCACTGTCGGTAGAGGCAACGCGAAAGCGGGGTCGCGACCACGACCAGAGGGATATTTCTGGGCCCTATCCTGAGAATTCCCATAAATACTTGGTTGAAAACTGAGCTGATATCTTATATTTTATAGTGTTTAAATTCCTCATAGTTAAAATTTAAACAGTTTTGTTCTTACCCAGTGATCCTTCCAGTTTCTGCTGAACAATGCGGGGCCGAAACTCCTTGCTGGATTCATACTGCTTCCAATGAAGTGAGCCTAGGAAATGGAGTGAGAAGATAAATTCAAAGAAATGGAAGGAGGAAAGTTAAGTCAACAGAAAATATATTTTGCAAGCAACAGTTTATTCGGTTAACGGTAAAATCGTAAAAACTGTTACTAAATTAATTTAAAATTCTACCATTACATAATTGATTCAGGCCCAGCTCTATTTCCACGGATTTATTCTGCCTCTGGTCAAAATTGGACAAGCATTGTGGGCACCTGTTGAATTTTAACCAGAGATTAAGACTCTCAGTTACAGAGTGTTCCACAAGGACAAAAATGCCCTCCAGACCATGCAATATACATATGCATCATCAGTGGCGAGGCGCGAAAGATCGATTTTTCATATTTTCCCATTTGAAGCTATGAAGAAGAATCGATTTATTAATCGGCGCACACCGGGCTCGGAACTCATTGAGCAGAACATGGCGCCAGCTCTCCCATCTACATTAGGACTCTATGTATTCTATGATCGAGACGAACGATTCAATTAGTCTTACCGCCGGTACGAGAAGAGCGACGCAGACAACACCGAATTTGATGGCGACGGTTTGTCCGGCATCAGGGTTTTTCGTGTCTTGTACGGCGCAGAAAACGAGGGAGAGAATCCCAGTGATGAGCATTTCCACACCAACGGCCTGGGCCGTGCTCATTCGCGGATCCACGGCATTGCAGCAGAAACCAGCCTCCTTCTCACCTAGCACCTCGTTCGGGACAAGCACCTGTGAACAGAAAAATTATTCAAAGGGATAGCGAAAACCCACGGAACCCTGGGAAAAAAAAATCAGTGATCCCAAGCGTGCGGATATATTAGAGACAAGGGACCCTCCAGTAGTATCTCGGCAATGGTGGAAGCTTTTACTTTCGGGACTTCAGCATTCTGCTCTTGACTTACCTACATGGTTGATGTTTAACAACGTGTTGGCAGTTTCGTTTTACAAACAAGCCGAAGTTTGGGAAACTTGTTTGGCTCATGACGTCACCCGAGGCTAATCATCCACCATGTGGGTAGGTCAACAGCCAAAATAAGAGTGATAAGAGTCGCACCCTTATGATTGTCCATAAGAAATTGTTGAATCCCCAAAAGTAAAAGCTTCCACCTGTCGCCAAGAGGCCAGTGGAGGGTCTCTTGTCTCGGGATATATTCGTGCCGTACGGATCTTCCCTTTACCAGCGCGGACTGTGCACAGGCCAGAAGCTTATGGGAAAACGTTTCCCTATCAAAAATATTCGCACGCTTGACATCACAGAACAACGGAGTAGCCAATAGCAGCACGGAGAGATTCAGGGCGCACGGATCTCGCACACGGAGCACCCGGAAGCACGGAAAAAATGCTGTGCTGCACTTTTTCGCCCACAAAACAAATCCGATATGGTTATGGCAACAAGCAGAAAAACAATATTTGAAACATGAAAGAAGTCATTAAATGTTGTCCTGTACGTTGAGTATCAGTGGTCAAAGTGCGAGACCCGAATCTCCATTGCGGTGTTTAAAATGTCCGATCCTACTTTATTTTTTGGAAGAGGAACAAGCCAACTTCAGGGTTTGAAAATACTGGCTATTTCGCCAAGAGGGGAAAAAAATCAAGTCAGTTTCCAAGGCATTACGCTGACTAGTTTTCCAAAGAAGAATAAGTAAAGTATGGCAGAAAGTCTGCAACGTCGCAAACGGAGGTACTTGATTTTACACTTTAACCATCGATGTATGTTACAGACTCCGTCCTGCTGGCTTACTACCGTGCTAAGGAAGAAGGCCTTAAGAGCCGTCAGATGTTGCCAAATTGTCTCAATTAAAATATGAATTTCCAAGGAAATTCGTAAATATTTTTCTTTTAATTTTTCGGAAAATTTAATTTGCGATCAGATCTAAATTATCTGAAAATCTCAAAAGAAAATATCCATGTCTTATCCTGAGAAACAAACATTGTACTGCCAACTCTCGAATGTTCATACGGCGTTTTTCCTCAGCACAGCAGACTAATAGAGAGAGGATGGCTTCTAAGTTTCAAAGACCTCTATGGACCCCAAAAAATGGCGGAGACTCTTGATGACCGTGGGCAAGAGCGGATGAGAAGATTTTTGCCATTGTTGAAACCTTTTTTTGGGTCTTAGACATAAACCGTTTTCCTGTACACATCATCACCATGAACTATCACCGTGTGCTTACCCTTAGAATACTGTATCCAACAAAGGCACCGAAACATTGCATTACAGTGTAGTAGATGAACATGAATATGGATTTTTCACCTCTCACAACGTCGGCAGCCGTCAACGCAGGATTGATGTGACTGCCACTGATGTGTCCAAATATCTGAAAGATAACAACAAGTTTTAATGAAGTTCACAAATAAGAAAATATTCGGGTGTGTAAGCCGTAATTACAAGCGTACTTTTTCTTCATGTTCCTAGACATCTGTTTCTCATAGATCAAAAGAACACTTTAAAAACAAAGTTCTCTTTCTGTGTGCTATTAGGGACATACGTACATACATACTTGCCGCTGTGCGACACCTAGCCGCCAAAGTCCCCCATCCTCCCAAAGCCCTTCAGGGAGTTGACACTCCCTCATTTTTTGCAAAACATCCTGTCACCAACCTTTTGCCTATATTAGAGTTATACTCCTCGCTATAATTGGAATACATTTTACAATTAGGAACTGCAATTTCTGGCTTAATTTAGAAACAACATACATTTTCCTGTGCACATAAGTATTTTTACTGTTGATTAAGAAAATTTAGTTTCTGATTGCAAAATATGTGGTCCAATTATAGACCGTGTTCTTCTCAACAGAAATTTGATTTATCATTCACGGATTAGTCCCTAAAAAAAAACATTCGAGTGCAAATTAAGAAGTAATGGAAAAGGGGAGAGAAAAGACGATACAATTACTTACAATAATAGAAGTTGCAATGGCAAATGAGAAAGAGATGACAACGCTAAGATGATCCTGAACACCTCCAGCTGAGTTTGAGATCAGGGACATGCAGCCAATGCTGAGCAGGATTGCAGTTCCACAAAGCTCTGCTAGACCTTTCGCCAGCAGCAGCCATACTTTCTTCGTGTTTAGGTTCTTGAACTCGTGAGGCTCAAATACACCTTTGCAAAATATAAGAAAGTCTATCAAGGAATGTCATAGATCGGCTTATTACGTAGGTATTGTAAACACTTGATACGCATGGGAATATATGAACTTAAGAGGAAAATAGATCTTGTGAAGTGTATAGAGCCATCGAGATAATTGTCCAGCATGTAGTTCCTCAAAAAGCGAGTTGAAGTTTTTATAAATGTTGACTTGATGTTTTTCAACTATACTACACATCACCATGTTTAATTTTGTGCTCTTAAAAATTAAATCTAAAATATAATGATTAGACGCTACATACTCTTCGATACTACTCTCCATATTTGAGCAACAAATTGGCGCGCAAAAATGTTTATGCCATAAATTGCCAAAAAAGTCTACAAAATCAATACGTAAAGGCTGAGCCAACAAGAGAAGACAAGTGGATACACATTTTGGTTAAATGGCGAAGAAAAGTAAGAAAAAAAATCAAGAAGAAAAGTGAAATATATTTGTGTGAACGAATAATACATTTTCAAAGGAAACTTAGAAACCCTTCAGATGTACGTATGCAACAGTGCAACTCGCAATCTTGGACGACATTAGAAGCTTTCAAGGAAGGAGAAAAAACACTCCTACATATATGCATCCCAACCAAACAAAGTGTTCATTCCTCCATTTCCTTTAATGTTTCCNGGGGGGGGGGGGGGGGAGTACCTGGACATTTCACGACTTGACCTGACCCTCTCACCTCCCACATTAATTACTTTTGAAAAGTCAAGAGCTTAATATGCTCCACGTACAATTAACGGCTGTTGTTGATAATGGTCAATAGATCAAAGTTGGTTTAGATGTAACATTAACAAAACGAATCAATGAACAATATTATATTTCAGAGATGTAATGAAAAGCTCGGAGGTTAAAATTTTGGGGGGAAAAGATCTTGAGTTTAGAAGTTGAAAAGTCATTTTTATAATTTGATATATTCTTTAACAAAAAGAAGGCAAACTTTATCTGAAGTATTTAACAGTATCTAATTACTAACCATCTTAGCTTTTATTTGAAGATCTCTCCACCATTACCTCATTATTTTAGTTTGCGAAATTATTTCCTCTTTTCTTCATCAGGACATCTGCACGGTATTTTTAACTTATTTTTTTCTGATTCGTTACTTGTCTCAGTAACATTCATTAATCAATCAATATTGTATGTCTTCGCGCGTCATTGATGCTCTGTGCGTTGTGGAAATATTTTTGAATAGGCAAGCAGCTTTATCTTATCAACGATAAAAAGTTTTCTCGATCATCGACAAAACCTGGGAAAAACTAATCACAATTTTTTATGTTTTCTTTTTAAGACGCAATCCCATTTCAGAAATAATATTAGTGTGGAGGGCAGCTGAGGAATGATACATAAAGTATCAGCAAAGAACTTGACTGCATTCTCTTTGTTAAATCCTCCGTCAAAATTCCTATTTAATAATCCACCTTTAAGTCCTGCATGGGCATGCAATCAATTGAAAGATAGTTCCAAAGCTAACGTGACACCGTCACTTTTTTAACACAAGGAGGTGAAGCATCCTCCTTTTAAATCAGCAATATGTTATCTCCATCATGAACGAAAATTAGGAGGAGACAAAATCGATTTAATCCGAAATTCACTATTCGCCGCAGACAGAACTGCAATCATCAGGTGGCGAATTTTTTTAAATAGTCATATCACGCACCTAACACTGCTGCTGTGTTATCTAAAATAACTTGGTTAATAAAATTAGGATGCATTAGAACGAGAGGATACATTTTATCACTCGGGAGATCCTTATATGCACCTGCTTCCTAACTGCCGGGCAACGTACTGGATAATCCTCTATTTGCAAATTAAAATTCGATCATCAGATCCATGGGAGAGGCTCAATTGGTAAATATATTCATAAACGGCATAAATCGTCGACTACCTGACATAAGGACTTAACTACACTCTGCAATGAACCCTGTCTTACATACAATTTAATGCTTTTCCGAGCTCATCTCAATGTATGGTAACGCCCTTATGTCAGCCAAGCGACGAAATGAGACCGCAGATCTCTAATCAGGAGTGATTTAAGGGTCCGCTCGACTTAGGCTTTTTGATCAAGTGCTACACGATTCCTCAATATCGTTGGAGAGGATAATCGTTTCTTATATCGGCACTTATAAATCAAAAAGAGCACTAAGAAGGAAGATATTCATTTGTTTTGATAGGATAATCTCGCTTTTTTCCTCAATCTCATCTACGATTGCATATTTCTTGACACTGCATTGCATTAATTCAGGAAGATTTGCACGTCAGTTAAGATACGTGCAGTGCAGTGTGTATTTAATATTTGCTGGAACATGAATCAATTAGACGCGGCCCACATTTCTGGTACATGTCGGGTAAAAATACTTAATTTTTTGCAATTTTGAGGGCCAGCACCACTTCTTCGGAAAATTTAGAATGCTGCGATAGAAATAAGTGATGATTTACTGCATCGACACAATAGGCAACGCCAGAAATAAGTTAAGGTATAAAAGAAAGTAAATGAGCAAAGCTTCAGTTAGCGTCGCGTGCGACCGGTAATAATCGAATTTCATAATAACTCCTGGATGCAACTATTCGAGCTCCATGGATGTCCGTTTTGCATACGTACGCAAGTGAAGGCGTTTTGACTTTAGACGCTAACTGCCTCACCAACGGCACTCCATGAAGCGAGTCAATGAGATCAATTGAACCAAATGTAGCACCAATAGAGGGTCAAATCAGTTTGTTATTACGAAAAATAAAGGTTTTAGAGGTGGATTCATTGATTTTCTCGAAAAGTTTCCCTCGAGAAGTACCTCATACAATGTATAGAAATGAACATCAAAATTTGCAGTTTTAGTCGAAAATTTCGCGTCCAACTTCTTTAAGACGCTCGTGTCATTGTGCGGCGAGTTTTACTGCTAGTGTCTCGCGATGAAACGATTGATCTGCCATGTATTAGGAGGTTCGCAGTAAATATCTTGATAATCGATTCTTTACTACAGCTCGCCGAATATAAAAATATAGCTAGTCCACGATTCACGCCTCGCTGCGCCACTGCAACGGACGACATACATTGTTTTTGTCGGTAAGGTGTTTTCTATCGGTGCCTCCTTTGAGTGCGTGAGTAATAATAGGAATTTATTTTTAAAACTGAGAAGATAAACTGCTTTGATGATAAACGCGTCGTGTTTGACCTCTGCGTGTTTCATAAATTGAGTGACGTTGATTTTCTTAAAATTTACTCACAGCTCATTCATTATATTTCAAACTGATCAGAGCACAAATACGACTTGATTAACAGCGCTGACGCATGGTGATACAAAATATTCTACGATACTAAAGTTCTGATGTTTACAGGAGTATCGTTTACGAAATCACATGGGCGGCATTAAGTAGTCGACTTGCTATACTCTTCGCCTAATTTCTTCATATTGATGGCTAAAGTTCGACACCACGTATTTCCATTACGGTTTTTCAAAATCTCTACATCTAGTTAATTTTTTTGAAGAGGAACAAGTCAACTTTAAAGGTAGCTTGAATTGAAATTTCTACGGGAATATTCTACTATAACAGAAAAAAAACCAAAGAAGTATTCATGAAATTACTTTGACCAGTTTAAGAAAAAATGAAGTATGACTGGAAGTCTGCAACGTCGCGAACGGAGATACGTGGTCTCGCATCCCTGCGATCGATATATTGAGTCCCTTCAACGGAAGATTGAGCAAATTTCGGACTTAAAAATTTTGTGAGGATACTCTTCATAGCCTGATGGATATTTTCAGAAAATTTCGGAACGTCATCTTGCTTCCACCTCTCTATACGCTCTTTAATTTAAAAGTTAATGATCTAAATGTTTGTTTTTCTGTGGGAACTGGGATGGTAACCTTTGAAACGTTACAACTCTGATTGTTAATTGAATAGATGCCAAAAACAATTAGGATGATCTATGCTCAGTTGCGAGCATAGGCGGTTCTAGACATTCATGCTTGGGGGTGCCCAGAGGTGGAAAATGTCGGAGACCGGCCCCGAAGGAGACGGTCGCTCAGGGGAGGCCTAAGTTTCGGCCCTCAAGTTTTACCCCTTTCCTACCCTCCTTTCTCTTTCTCTCTCCTTCCTTTCTACTTAAATATCTATACATTTAATGTAGAAAATTTTTAGCAAAACTTTCCATCAAAACTACAGTCTTACCATAAAAAAACAGTAGACTCTTTGTAAAACACGGCTATCAACATTAATTCTGTTTAAAACATTTTCAATTAATTGCTGGGATTTTTTCTCAGTGTGCGCGAATACAGAATCTTTAAACCCTGGTAAAAATTGGCGATAGGAGCTGCGTTTCAAAATACCATAGGGGTTCTTATAGACGCCTAAGAGGGCTATTGAAAATCATATAGCTGGCTGTAGAAAGCTGAGCAACTCATATAGCCGGGCTATACGAAGCTATAACAAAGTATACAGTCGGGCTATAGTTCCTATCGCCGGGCTTTACACATTCTCGCCATTTGCTATAAAAGGCTATAAGAAATTGTGTAGAAATTCGTGTGCTTTGGAAATCATTAAGATTGATACGGAACTACCTTAATATTTACAAAACACACTTTATATTTTCCTTTAAAACATATTTTTTTTTCATCAATTAAAATGAGATGGTCCATACAGAGTGTGCAAACATTTCAAAATCATGAGCTGAAAAACGCCGACTCCGCGATATTAAATATTAGAGCCTAACACAAAGCAGAGCGGCGACGCATTGGTGCCTACAAACCTAACAGGGATACTTCACGCATTGCGCGGCGACGCACTGGCGCCTACAAACCTAACAGGGATACTTCACGCATCGCGCGGCGACGCACTGGCGCCTACAAACCTAACAGAGATACTTCACGCATTGCGCAATGCGTGAAGTATCCCTGTTAGGTTTGTAGGCGCCAATGCGCGTTTCGCGCTCTCTGCCCGCCCGCCGCGCCGCAGCGTGCCGAGGCGTCTGAAGCAA